GATGAGGATCTTGAATTCGATCCTCTGGGGGATGGGGAGCCAGTGGAGGCGAGCGAGGGTGGGAGTGATGTGGGCGCGGTGTCTGGTGCGGGACAGTACACGAGCTGCAGAGTTCAGGATGACCTGCAGTGTGGAGGGAGGGCCGGGAAGGCCGGCGAGGAGAGAGTTCCCATAGTCCAGCCTTGAGGTGGTAAAGGCGTGGACCAGAGTATCAGCCGCGTGAGGGGTGAGGTAGTGCCGTAGTCTGGCGATGTTCCGGAGGTGATGGAAGGCGGTGCCAGTTGTGGTGCGGATGTGAGTGAGAAAGGACAGCTCAGGGTCGAACAGAACGCCGAGGTTCCTGATGGCTTTGAGAGGTGGAGAGTGCGGCCTTGGATGCTGATGCTGTCAGCGCCTGAGGTGCGGAGGCGCTGACGTGAGCCAATCAGGAGGGCCTCAGTTTTGCGCACGTTGAGGTGAAGAAAGTTGTCTCTCGTCCAGGACTCGATGTCGGACAGACAGCTGTCAGGACATCGGGGGTCGTGGAGTTGAGGGTAGAGGAGGAAAGGTAGAGTTGGGTGTCATCCGCATACATGTGGAAGTGAACCCCATGTCTGCGGATGATGTCACCACAGGGGGAGCATATAGAGGGTGAAGAGGAGGGGACCGAGGACAGAGCCCTGAGGCACACCACACGAGACAGTGTGGGGGGTGGAGGAGAAGCCATTCGTGGAAACAAAGTGAAGACGGTGGGAGAGGTACAACCTAAACTACTCAAGGACAGGGCCTTGAAGGTTGAGGTGGGAAGACAAGCGGTGGAGGAGGATAGCATGGTCGACCGTATCGAATGCTGCCGATAGGTCGAGGAGGCAGAGGGAGCCCTGGTCACAGATGTCATTGGTGACCTTGACCAGGGCAGTTTCTGTGCTATGGGCAGCACGGAAACCCGACTGAAGGGTTCAAATAGTGAATGGGTGGAGAGGAAAGAGCGCAGCTGGGAGGCCACAACTCGTTCCAGGACCTTGGACAGGAAGGGGAGGCTGGAGATGGAGGGGAGGCTTCAACTAGGAAAACAGGGTTATTGGGGGAGAGCCAAATTTCTGTGAGCCCAAGAATGTCGAGGTGCTCGTCCAAGATGAGGTCATGGATGGTGAGGGCTTTGTTAGAGAGGGAACGGACATTTTGAAGGGAAATGCGGGTGGGTTTGCTGGTGGAGGAGAGGGAGGAGAGAATGGTGCGGAGAGGATTTTCAGGTGTACAGGAGAGATAGCTGTGGAGTATCGTGGGAGTGGAGAGTTGGGGAGGGTACGTATGAGGGAGGGGGAAGTTGGGTTTGGCTTGAGGCGGTTTGTGTGGAGGGAGTGAGTGATGGGACACGTGGGGATGCTGCTCTGGGACAGCCAGTGCCGGGAGCCACGGTGGAGGATGCCCAGGCTGGAGCAGAGGGAAATGGTGATCGGGTCGAGGAGAGAGAGGGGAGGGTGTTGGAAGAGAAGGACAGAGGGGGGTGGGAGGAGAGACATTTAGAGGGGAGGAGGAGGGTCGGGGCGGCAGCCAAAACGCGCACGCAGAGACCAGGAGCGAGCGATCAGTGGGATGGCATCAGCCCGCAGGCTGTGTGGTCACGGCTGGGATGGCAGTGCCAGGGCCTGCCAGGCCATTTTTTTTATTATGACTTCATACCGATGTCACTTTTGTAAATCAGCGCACCCCCCCACACTCCCGTGCTCTCCTGACTCCGCTCCCGAATGAGTGGCTCCTCACCTCGCTGGGTTTTAATACCTGTTGCTAGGCCTCGGCTCCGCCCCGCGCTCTCCTGACTCCGCTCCCGCTCTGCTACACAAGATCAGGGCACATGGAATTAAAGGCAATATATTAGCATGGATCGAAGAGTGGCTAACGGGAGGAAAACAGACTAGGCCTATATTCTCTAGAATATAGAAGAATTAGGGGTGATCTTATAGAAACATATAAGATTCTTATGGGACTTGACAGAGTAGACAGTGTGGGATTGTTTCACCTGGTAGGAGAATCTATAACTAGGGATCACAGTCTTAAGATTAATCTTAAGGGTCAGCCCTTTCGAACAGAGTTGAGGAAACACTTCTTCACTCAGAGGGTAGTGAATTTATGGAATTCTCTACCCAAGAAGGCTAGATGCTCAGTCCTTGAACGTATTCAAGACTGAGATTGACAGATTTCTAAAGGATAGAGGGATTAAGGGATATGGGGATAAGGTGGGCAGATGGAGTTAGGTTAGAAGACAACTGTGATCTTATTGAATGGCGGGGCAGGCTTCAGGGGCTGAATGGCCTACTCCTGCTCCTAATTCCTATGTTCCTATGTATTAGCTCTTTGAAAGGGCAATCCGTTCAGTCCCTTTCATCTGCCTTTTCCCAGTGCAAGTGACCCTTTTCAGATAAGTCCTCCGAGAAGCTACCCTGCTTGATGGGCACTAAATAAATGCAAGTTGTTGCTGTTCAGATATCTACCTATTTCCCTCTTCCCTCTTGAAAGCTAATATGGATTCTGCCTCAAGCACTGTACCCGGCAGGAAATTCCATTCCACAATGACACAAAATTCATCCATTGTTAAAGAAGGCTCCTAAAAGTTTCTAGAAACAACATTAAAAAAGGACTTTTAACAAGTGTATGTCACAGCATCTCTGCCTCCAACCTCTGGAATTCCATCCCCCAATCACTTCGCCTTGCCCCTAGGCAGCAGCTAAGAATTCTTCTGTTTTCCAGTGATCTTGAAAAAAACATTTTATGTATACATATCAACATTTGTTATGACCTGGGCCAATAGAAAAATGAGGGGGGACTTTGTCTGCATTTTCCGCTGCGATGACCTTCGCCCGGCTACAAACCCACTACAAACAGCCCCTTGGGTACCAATCTTTACACACAGTGCGCTAGGCCCTAGGCCTCTCCTGCTATTTGTTCAACGCCACCACTGTAGCTGGCTCCGATCGCGCATGCGTGGTGAATTTTGGGATCGCGGAAACAACAGGTGAGGGAAATGGACTTCGCTGGCAAATAAACCTCGATAGGAAAGCAGCTGCATTATACACCACTGCGACAGATACTTGGTAAGTGCCATACTATTCAAAATAAAATATTTAATATTTTAAACATACCTACATGTTCAGGAAATATATAGCTATAGTTTTAATCAGGGTTGTTTCACTTTTTAGGTTGTCCAAACGTTTTTGTAAAACCTGTGAGGAAGCCAAGTGGCAGCACGTCTCATTTTCCGCCTGTCCCTCAGATAGAATTGTATTCTATCCAGTTGACCTTTATGAAGAAGGGGGGCAGGTATTTTGCCACGTCTGCTGTCATACAGTTGACCATGTTCGCAAGTTCACCGTTGATGAGCACATGAAATCTCAGAAACATTGTGAATGCAACACAGTGGCAATAAAGAAAAAGCAAAGGTAAAATACTTTTGATATATATGATATTAAATGAAAAGTATCATTATTTGGTTTCACTTGAATTTTGAAAGAAAATCTTAATGTATATGATTGCGAAAGTTAATCCTTTTTGATTGAATTTTGAAAGCACATAAAACAACCACAGCAAAGTAGACACAACATTTCTAATGACAAATGCATCATGAAAATCAATTTTTATATTTTCCTTCCTAGGTGGATCTGGACCTCAAAAATAACTTGCCCTGACACCTGCTTCTCTACAGCCACTGCATCATCTATGGAGAAGAAATAATTGATATTGGACTTTGTGCAGTGGTTGACAAGAGCAAACATACCACTTGAAAAAGCTCCTGCCTTCCAAGACTTTCTATGCAAGTACACGAAACAAGGGAGGGATTATTCCAACACCATCGCAGCTTCATAATGCATACTTGAAGGAGCTTATTCCTGGGCATGAAGCATTTTTGAAGAAACATGTTGAGGGCACAGATGTTTACTTGTTCCTGGATGAGACCACTGATTCCAGTGAGCATAGTGTCTGGCAATGCTGGCGCAGCCACTACAGAAAGTTGGGGAGAAGCCTCTTCTTATTGGAGTAGAATTCTTGCAGCAAGTCAACCACGCCACTGTGTCACAAGCTTTCCTAAGATGTAAATGTAAAAATGGTTAACTTTGATAAAGTGCTTGCAGTTGCCACAGACAGTGCAAGCCACCTGATCAAAGCATTTAACACAATTCTGTTGGGATTGTTTCCTAACGCAGTATTATATTACATGCATTGCCCATCTTTTGAACTTGATTTTGGAAATTTAGCCTGTTAATACAGTGGACTTAAATACAGTGGTTGCTATGGTCAAGAAAGTCTTTTGCCAAAGTCCAATGCACCGATTAGTACTTGGAATTTATGGAGACGGAGGATGGAATTAAACCACAGATGCCAGTCTTTGCTGTTCAGACGTATTGGTGCTCCTGGGTGAAGACTGTTGAATACTTGTATGAGTACTTGCCTGTCTTGGCAGAATTTCTTCAAGGAATTGTATCAGAGGCCTTAGCAGTGGAAAAAACGGAAAACGTTCTTGAACAATAATGCTGCAGAGTTGCAAGCCCCAAAAGTTCCAAGCAACTTTTGTCACAGAGCACTCATCTGAGCTCATAAAACTCCTTGAAGAATGTCAGGCAACAGCTGTGCCTCAAGGCCACAGTCTGCACTTTGTCCACACCCTCTGGAACTCCATCCCACAGTTTCTCCACCTTTCCCTTTTCCTTCCTCCTTCAAGACCCATCTCAAGACCCTCCTCTTCGACCATGTTTTTGGTTACCCTCCTACCCCAACCCTCACTGCCCTCCACCCCTCGTGAACCCAACCACCTGCTCAGGTGCAGATCCCTGACTGTCCAGGGAAGTCCTCCTGACGTGAAAGGCGCTTTACAAATGTCATTTGTTGTTGTTGCTGGTTCTCACAAATAAGAATGAGAGGAGGTACTTGAGGGTGGCCAGTTCCAATGATACCATTATGTTTTAGCTTTTGTAGTAACTATGACCAACTTTCTGGACTTGAACTGATTTGTGTTTTTCATTGAACAGGTTGTATGTTAACCAAGCATCTAACAGTCAGGAGGAGAAGCTAACGTTTGGAGAGTACCTGAAACAGCTGTCCAGGCATCGGAACTTTGTCTGGTTTGTGTCCATGAACCTGGTGCAGGTAAGACCAGCTGGACTTGCTCTTATGGATCTTTCCTGGTTATTGTTTCTTTATTTCATGGGGAAAATAGCCTTTGACATCATTAGCAGAGGTAGGGAGCATACATGTCTAAATATGTTCAAGATTTGTAGGACAACTGTTTCCCTTGTTGTATAGTCTATGGAAACATGAATTGTAGAAAATACAGTATGGTCGGATGCAAACCACAACACACCTGGGGGGGGGGTCAGCTTGGCTCAGAGAGGTATTCTTGCCTCTGGGTCAGAAGGTTATAGATACAAACATACATCAGGACTTGAACTCATATTCTACTCTGATGCTATAGTGGAATATTGGGAGAACGCTCCATGGTCTGAGGTGCCGCCCTTCATATGAGATTAAATCAATTGCCCTCCTGTTCTTCAAATTGAAGATTCCATACCATTGAAAAGAAGAGCTTCTCCCCATGTCCTGGCCAACATTCTTTTGGACAAATTGATCATTTACCACATTGGCTCTTTGTGGGGCCTTCGAATGTGGAAAAATGGTGGGTGCATTCAATCAGGGATTCAGTCACTACATCAGAGATCACAGCGAATTGGGATGTGAGTGTGCTATATTGGTCTTCCACGCACCATGTCTCAGAAGTGCTCCAATGGGACAGGGTGAGGAGAGAATGTGAGTGGAGTGTTTCTTCTTACTGTTGGTCATGCTTCTTGCTGGCTGACTTCAGAGCAGCGTTGGCAGAAGCTCAGACAACAGAGTATGGACTCTCAACAAAGTGTGGGTTATGGAGCAAGGAGCAATAGGGAAGGACATAAAATTAAAGCTTGCCATCAAAGTAGAACTTCAAACATTAACTTGTACTTGTAAAGAGCATTTCGGACAGGATAATGAGCTGGGAGGTTTGAGAGGGTAAGCATCAATTAAACATTTACAGAAAAGTCATTAAAATACCAATTTATCAACATTATGAGGAGCCAAACTCCTTATACAGTTTTATGTTTTTTAATTACTAGATTCCAATTTGAAACTATCCTCTTTATTCCGCCACCTCAACTACCACTGAGGGCTACAGAAATTCATCTTCCATGAAATTGCTGTTGAAATCAGAGACAGAAGTCATTAAAAATCTTGAACTGAAACACTGGGACTCTGCCCCATGTGAGGGATGGGGCAGAGTCCCAGTGCATAAATGCAAGTTGTTGTTGTTAATATTAATTAATTGAGTTTTTACAATTTTTTTTTAAAAAAAGGTTTTCCACTGCCACTTCAACAGTAACTTCTTTCCCCTGTTTCTGGAGCATCTACTTTCAGACAAGATTTCCCTCTCCACAGGTTCCTTTCTCCTAGGTAAGTGCTTTCTATAAAACAGGATTGCCAAGCTCAGCTTAAATTCTCAGCAGTTTGAGGAAGGGGTATTTGCTGTCCTTGGCTTTGCACCTTGTTTTGGTCAGTGGGTGTTCAATGGCCACTTGATTTCACAGAAGAAAATGGTTTTCCTTCCTTCCCCAGAGTCTTGGGTTGAACTTTTGACACGAAAGGCACTTTCTAAATTTGTATTCTATTAAGATTTTGGAAAATGCATTCAAATATGAATTAGAAAAGGACTAGAAGGAAACTTCATCATGTTAATGGGAGTTTATCTTATACAATCTGATCTGTTTACAAAACGTGTTAGAAATCATCAACAACAACAACTTGCACTTATATAGTGCCCTCCACGCGGGGTAGAGTCTCAGAGTGCTTGACAATGGCGGAGCCTGACTTGTTGTTGTTGGTTGAGGGAGAGCGTTCCAGAGTTTCAGAGGCAGGAACTCTCGCTGTGACAATGTAACCCTATAAGACAGCCTAAATCTCCCACCCCCCTCCCACCCCTCCAACTGCAGCTGGATGGAGGCAATAAAGTAGGGCACTTCATTGTGTAAATTTAAAAGAGCTCACAAGGTTGGGAGGACTCATCAGCTCAAATACTTAAGAATGCAAATCCCAGCTATAATTTTGAGGACTGTCCTGATGGGCAAGTTTGATCATGGAGCTCCGCTGAGATGGAGCTAGGTGACAATTTGTCCTTTCGGTTGAGTGGATGAGCATACGTAGTGGGATACTTTAAGAGATTTTTTTTGGTCAGCCGGGTGTCTGACATGCGGGAAACCCATCACTGTCGCTTAAGAGTATCCAAACCAAACTGAGATTTCCATGCATCCCACCTACACATGGAAATCCTAGAGATAGAGTATTGGAATGGAATGCGCTCTCTCTCCCTGGAGGGACACATCCTGTTTACCTAATTCCAGAAAGTATTAGGCGCAGGTTGGCCAGAGCCAAGGCTTGGGGAGACACCAGAGTGTGTGTTGCGGTAACTCCTGGAGTCTAACCAGCTGAACCTCATAACTTGCCATTGATATTGCTGTGTGACAAGCTTTCCCGTTCCTTGTCCAGTTTAAGCGATGAAGAACCAATAAGCTGGAAAAATGTTTAGTATAGAACTGGTGAGGGTGTGTTTTAAACCGATTTTTCTTTCTTTTTTTTCCCTTAGGTGTTTCGTACATTGCCCCGCATTTAAACAACCTTTACTTCTTGTCACTGTGCCACAGATTTGGAGTGTATAAGGTTATCAGAGGAATGTTCTACCTGAAACTGCTACTAAGCTTGATCATGCTGATGGCAGGAGCAGATCAAGTATATTTGCTGTGTTTCTTCATAGCCAGGTATACCAGCAGTGCTGTCACTTCCAAACATTTCTTTCAGCATTTTTTAAATTAAAAGCTACCAAGAATCTTAAGTTCTATTAATAGGGATATAATAATAATCCTTGTATTTGATATAGCGCTTTTCATGTCTTTTAGACGTCCCAAAGCGCTTTACAGAATATATTGTAAAGTGAATTCACTTTATATTCGTGGGTGAAATGCGGCAGCCAATTGCACATAGCAGCGTCCCACAAACAGACATGGATTGAGTGACTAAGTTATTATTTTTTTTGGAGGGATTATTATCCCCAGGAAAACGATCTGCCAATCGACTAACAACCAGGTTCCTACTTACTGCTAGCTAAACAGGTATGTGGAGTAAGGAAACTTGCCTTACATTTCGCTAGGAGTAGAATCCAGGTCTCTTGCGAGGCGAGTGCTCTAATCACTGAGCTTCAGAACTCCAAATAGAATGCAAAGCAAATTGGTATTGCTAAACTTTTCTACACTGCATTTGTACAGCCCGTGTGCCTGAGATTTATACGGACCATGTGCCCAAGGTTTATACAGTCTGTGTGCCCAAGGTTTATACAGTCTGTGTGCCCAAGGTTTATACAGTCTGTGTGCCCCAGGTTTATACAGTCTGTGTGCCCCAGGTTTATACAGTCTGTGTGCCCCAGGTTTATACAGTCTGTGTGCCCCAGGTTTATACAGTCTGCGTGCCCCAGGTTTATACGGTCTGCGTGCCCCAGGTTTATACGGTCTGCGTGCCCCAGGTTTATACGGTCTGCGTGCCCCAGGTTTATACGGTCTGCGTGCCCCAGGTTTATACGTCTGCGTGCCCCAGGTTTATACGGTCTGCGTGCCCCAGGTTTATACGGTCTGCGTGCCCCAGGTTTATACGGTCTGCGTGCCCCAGGTTTATACGGTCTGCGTGCCCCAGGTTTATACGGTCTGCGTGCCCCAGGTTTATACGGTCTGCGTGCCCCAGGTTTATACGGTCTGCGTGCCCCAGGTTTATACGGTCTGCGTGCCCCAAGTTTTATACCGTCTGCGTGCCCCGGGTTTATACGGCCCGCGTGCCCCGGGTTTATGACGCCCGCGTGCCCCGGGTTTATGCCGCCCGCGTGCCCCGGGTTTATGCCGCCCGCGTGCCCCGGGTTTATGCCACCCGCGTGCCCCGGGTTTATGCCGCCCGCGTGCCCCGGGTTTATGCCGCCCGCGTGCCCCGGGTTTATACCGCCCGCGTGCCCCGGGTTCACGCAGAATAAATTTAACCTGTGTATTGTGTACACAAGTTCACTCTGCGTTCCCTTGCTTTTATTGGATTTAAAATCCGTCTGCCTTCCCTTATAGTTCTGCTTAATTGGCTTTGCTCTTAAATGCTATTTATCCTTCTATTAGTCCAGGTGGCCTACATACCTTGATGTCTCGTAAAACAAATGAAACCATAACTCTCATGTGTACCATGTTTCAGATCGCTTCCTTTCTTTGGGTGTGTGTGTGGAGGGTGGGGTTTATTGATTTACAAACCCACTTAACTGTATACATATACCACGGCATCTTTATATTCTGCATAAATTCTGCATAAATTTATATTCTGCATAAATTACCTGAGGCCTCGCAAATTTCTCAGCCATTGTCTTACAGTTGAAAATTAATCAGAATCTTGGGCAATTCTTAAATTCAGTTTTAATTTGATAGCTGCTTCTTTTAAGGACTTGGGAAAAACAGCTTCTGAATTTAAGTATTTCCCACTGTCAGATTTCGGTCATTTGTCTGCAGGCTCAGATTGTGAAGAATTTTGGGCTTGTGTTAAGGCCAGTAATGTAGGTTAACAAATGATGACCTTTGATAATATAATAATAATCCTTACATTCGATACAGCGCTTTATCACATTATTGAGGTGACTCAAAGTGGTTCTCAGAATATATGTAAATGAATTGACTGTATTTTGTGGGCGAAATACCCCAAATCTAAAATTATTTTCAGAATTTCAGAACTTTGAAGAGCCAAGGAGAGAAGCTCTGCTCCTTCACTCTCAACAGTGTGACTTCTTGGTTCAGTAAACAGTGTATTGCACCTGTTTCAGTGTTATCTTGATATTCTATGATTTGTTCAGTTAGATGTTCAGGATACTGTGTCCCAGGCTGCTTGTGATGTGTGTATAACCACAGATAAGGGCACTAAAAGCTTTTTGGACGGCAGGATCCCTTGACTAACCTGTTTTGAATGAGGCACTAGTAGATCAAATCATCTTATGTGTGCTTTGAATGAATGTATTTGTCTGCGTGACCTTGATCAATGGCTACACCCTGAAGAACGACCTGCCAACTTACACTAAATGCTACTGGATGTTCTGCCAAACATCCTTTTGAGTTGCTGGTGTTGGAGGGCAGTAAAGGATACACCTGATAATGAGGGAGAAAGGAATTGCACAACAGGATAATCATCTATTCAGTTTTGGGTGAGGTGCATATGAATTGAAGTAGTTTTGTGACTCTCTTACCTAGTTTGTTCAATCCACTCATTCTATGGATTGTCTTTAAGAGTGAGTGTCCAAGGTGCTTTCTCTCCAGTTGGAGTCAATGGAATGACTGTCTTAATCGTAAAATTAGAGTGAGGTCATTTAGGAGTGAAATCAGGAAGCATTTTTTCACACAAAGGCTCGTGGAAATCTGGAACTCTCTCCCCCAAAAGGCTGTGGATGCTGAATCCATTCACATTGTCCAAACTGAGGAGGATAGGTATTTGTTACTGTGAAGCTCTGAGATGCCGTCCAGCATGGAGGGCGCTATATTAATCCAAGTTGTTGTTGTCGTTTACAAATTGTTCCATCGATGGTCAGAGCTGCTGGTGTTCTTTCACTGTTATAAATGGAACGCAAATTGTAACATTTGTCAATTTCATATGTTACTGCCTGGTTTGTGCGTCTGCAATGCTGTTTTTGTTTCATTCTCCAGCAACCGAGTGTTCACCGAAGGCACCTGCAAGCTGCTGACCCTGGTCATCACAGACCTTATAGATGAAGATTTTGTCCTGAACAGGAGGAAGCAGGCAGCTTCCGCGTTGGTGTTTGGCATGGTTGCTTTGGTAACGAAACCCGGACAGACGTTCGCCCCACTGATGGGCACCTGGTTGTTGTGTGTTTACACAGGTAGCTGAGACCATAGCTCTTATTTCACATTATTATCCATGGAGGTGTACTCCACCTCACAGAGCCAGTCCGGAACCTTGATGTCTTGCTTGACACTCAGTTTTCCTTTCTACCCTATATCCGTGCCATGACCCGCTCTAGAGGCCTTCCTTCCCCACTTCTACAACATCACCCAACTCCACCACTGTTTCTCCCCTCAGGCTGCCGAAACCTTCATGCATTCATCACATGTAAGCTCGACTGTGCCAACTCCCTGTTTGTTGGCCTCCCCAACTCTGTCCTCCACAAGTTGCAGATCATCCAGAACTCTGCAGCTCGTGTCCTCTCCAGCATGACCCCATCACCCCCACCCTCGCCTGGCTCCCCATCCCCCAGAGGATAGAGTTCAAAATCCTTGCCTTTCCCTCAATGCTCTTTCCAACCTCTGTGACCTGCTGACCCCATATCGACCTGTGTGCTCCCTCCGCTCAGCAGGCTCCGGCCTGCTTTATGTCCCCAGCCCGCCCTACCATTGGTGATCGGGCCTTCACCTCTCCCCACCCTTTGGAACTCCATCTCACAGTCCCTTCGCCTCGCTCCTTCCTTCAAGGCCCATTTCAAAGACCCTCCTACCCTCCACCCAACACCTCTTGGTGTGAGGTACTCAGATCTTAAAAACAATCCTGAGTGGTGTATGGGTGGATGTTGCAGTTTGTAACCAGTTACTAAACCACAAACTCTTCATTAGGGGAATTGCTGGACGTTCACTTGATCTTCAAATCAGTTTCTTGCATCTCTGAATTTTACACCTTTTCTCTCTTCCCCCAACACTAAAAATCCTACTTAGAATCATAGAATCCTACAGCACAGAAGAAGTCCATTGGCCAATTGTGCCTGTGTTGGCTCTTTGAAAAGAGCTGTGCAATTAGTCCTACTCCTCCGCTCTATCCCTATAACCTTGCAATATTTTTCTTTTCAAGTAAATACCCAATTCCCTTTTGCAAGTTATTGTGGAATCTGCTTGCACCACCCTTTGAGGCAGACAGTGTTGTTGTTAAGGGTTGATTCTTTCTCAGCAAAGGAGGCTGCTCTTCCTTGTGCAGCCATTCCTGATTTTCTAAGCGACCCCTTTTCTTGTTTTCCAGGCTTTGATATCTTTCAGCATGATGCATTACACGATATAGTCCTGACAAAGGAGGTGGCGGAACCCAACCTGGCGTGGAGGACAGCCATCCGTCAAGGCTGCTTCTACCTGCTGGTCTTCATCCCCATCACCAGCGCAGTGCTGCAGCTTCTCGCCTGGTCTCAGTTTACTCTCCGCGGTAAAAGACTCCAGACAATAAAATCCCTGAGGCAGAGCACGGCCCAGGAAAGTCTGCAGGACATCAAAGCAATCTGAGGCCATCTCTACCGTACAGACCATCACCCTGATCTTTGGAGCTAGGCTGCACCTTCCCCTTGTGAACTAGTGCATATGATTTATTTTTCCTTATTAACTCACTGCCACTTCAGCTCAGGATATAGATACCTTCAGTGGACCAATCATTAATAATATTGTTTTCTTATTTAGATGGTTTGTGAGTCTGAAATATTAAGAGCCCTCATTATTTCCTTTCTTGTTTTAAAAGGGATCTGTCAAACAGACCTGGTGCCTAACCCCTTCCGTGTGTTATTTTTGTATCTTAAATCTTCACAACTCACAGAAGAGGGAAACAAACAGGCCTATAAAGGCCAGGGTCCATTACATACTTGGTGCATTTAGATTTCGTCCATGAGATTCACTAGTTCAGGTTTCCAAAGGATGTTAGTCACCGCTTGCTACATATGCTTTTGCTGGTTTAGCTTCCTAGTTTGCTTGTATTTATTGTTCCTATGGGGTATGGGCATTGAGAACTATTTCATGGAGACCCGAACATTAAGCCACTGCAAGATAAACAAGACAGTGGTGGCAAAAAAAATTAGACCCCATTGTCAGAGCCTCTGCTCTTCCACCACATTCCCTCCTTCCAGAAAAGCAGACTTAAAATAGTAGTGCTCGCAGTGCTGTACGTTTGCACCTTGTATCACACTCTTGCTGCCACCATGTTGGATTGAGCAGCTTTAAGCTCTGATCCCACACCGGGGCTACATCGTTTCCAGGATTCAGTTCTATTTGGAAAAGACATGATTGTGGACACTCAGTGCATTTCATCATTTCAAAATACTGGTTGTGATGCCGGGGGCAGCAGGTGGCAGCAGCTAAAGGTTGTGATGAGAAAATCTCAGTTTCAGTGCCCAGCAATGGGGAAGTGAAGCCACCAGGGCTAGAGCACCTTCTGTCGATTTGTGTCAAGCCAGCACAAGGAACTGACCCCACAATTTTGCTCTGGTATATTTAGTGGTTCCCGAATGTGCCTCATAGTCACTTAAGATCTGTTGTGCACTTAAATAATTCTGCTTCAGCAAACATTCTACCTTATGCAATCGCTGAGGAACTTGGTGATAACATAATGGAAGCTTTTATGGGGTTAACATCAAAGACGCTTTTGTGACATGAATCCACCATACTTATGAATGTATTAAGTTTATAATCCGTGGTATAATTCATCATAGACCAATCTATTAGTAAGGGACCAATTGTTACATTTTCATGTGGCAAATCATCAGGTCAGGCAATAAACATTCAATTTTAATGTGCAAATGTTAGATCCAGGACAAGGGATTTTTTTTGTATATGGGATGCCCAGGGTTTGGTTGTGGTGTAGCATTTTAAGGACCAAGGTCCATCCAATTCACCTTCCAACAGCCTGGCAGTCGCTTGACATGTTGTGTCCCAAACTATACACTTTATCCCCAGATTTTATTTTCTAGCAGAAATCTATCTAATTTGTTCTTGATACAAACAACACTTTCTGCTTCCACCATCACCCTAGGGAGCCTGTTCCATACATTTACTGTTCCATACGTTTAACTCCTTAAAATCCCAGATCCTGCTCTCCTAAAATTGCATTAGCTTTGTTGCATGCAGTTATGAGACATTAACTCATCTGGGATGCAAAATATATTTGCAAACTTCACATAGCTTTTCAAAATTAAAGTTATTCTGATTGCTTTATTAAGCATTCATTTTAGCCATTCTTTAGGTGCAATTGGATTGGTTTTGTGTAACTGGGAAGAAAATGAAAACTTCTTTTTAATGCTGCTGAGAAAACCTAACTGTTTAGGTGCTTTGAAAACCGCAAAAGCCTGAATATAGAAACGATACTGCCTTATATACAAATACTTTCAAGTCCAGAGTTTTCTGTCATGCTAATCAAAAGGAATGTCTCGGTTACAAACTTTTCAAATTTGTGTTATGACATTTTCTCGTCTCTCTGCGAGGGAGTGAAGGGATCATTCATTAGTTTGTGAAAATTATTTCCTTTTAATTTTTTTGCAATATGTAATAATGTTTCAGTATTTCTTAAAATCATTTTGACCCAAGGAAAGTATTGTCATTATCTAGTTTTAACTTCTGATGAACCTGAATCTTGTCACCCAAAGTAGTGTTTGTCTGTTTGGAGGAATTGTGATACTGTAACAATGAACGTGATTTTTTTGGAAATGTCTCTGGTTTTAAGACTCTTGTAACATAAGACTGACAGAATATATCTGTTAACTGAATACACAGTTCTGCAGTACATTTACACTGTTTTTGTACAATTTCTATTCTGTGCATTCTTTACCAAACAGAATTTTTGAAGATCAAAGGAATTTTACTTAACTTAAAGAATTATGTATTAAAAAAGACGCTTGGAAAAAATATGCTACTGTGAAATTGGTTTTATTTTAGCTGATCGTACAGCAGAAGTGACTTTTAAATGTCTTCCCTTCCAACCCCATTTTGAGATTAACTAATTTCAGAGGGGAACTTCACACCTGTGAGAAAGGAAATTCTCATCCATCAATCTATAAGTGGATTAGATTCAAAAGCATCTGATGTGCCATATGGCCCACACATACCCCTCTCCTTGATTGGAGGCTTTTAAACCTCAACAGATTACATTTGTACCTAAACACATGTTGGCAATGATAGCAGTTTTGATGCAGCATCACACCAGTTGGATAAAAAACATTATTCTGTTTTTTCAAAACGTAATGGGATTTTACAATGCTCAAAGGGTTTGAATGGGTGTGTGTTACGTGCACTTTACAAATGTATGAAATGCAGTCATTTCTGCACTAGGTCATTGTGCTCACAGTCTTGAGAAGTACAATTCACTGCATTGGATTAAATCTCACCTCTGTGTGAGCCTTAAATCTCAACATATTAAATTTGCACCAAATGTGTTTTGGCAATTCCAGCAGGTCACGTGCAGCATCACTACCAGTGAGATAAACCATACTAATCCTTGCATTTGATAAAGCGCCTTATGTCGTTGAGATATCTCAAAGTGCTTCACACGCTATATTGTAAAATGGATTGACTGGGTTTTGTGGGCGAAATGTGGCAGCCAATTGCGCACAGCAGTGTCCCTCCCACAAGTAGTCGTGGATTCAGTGACCAAATTTTTTGGAGAGGTTATTACCCCTGGAAAGCAATCCACCAATCAACTAGCAACCAAGTTCCTACTTACTGCGAGGAAAATAATAATAGATTTTGCTTTTCGGAAAGTAAAGGATGTTGCCTTTCTCAAAGTCTCATTTTCTTACACACATAACCCGAGTTTGACAGCATCTAACTATTGGCTTCGAATCTCTCCAACTTCTTCAACCTCCAGATGTCCTTCCTTATGAGCCTCAACTTCATTTGCAAAGGAATGTATGAGACCAGAAACAATTAATAGTCTGTTAGACCAGCACCGTAGTACAGATAGTAAACAGCAGCCCCCCCACCTCAATCCCTCTCTACCCCCGCCTCCCTCCTCTCCCAATCAGCCGCATGGGTCACTCTACAGCAGGAGGAGCCTGTGGTTGGTAAGAGACATGCTTGCCTTCCTGACAGACTGCAGTAACAGCCAGTATCAGTTCCACTCTCCTCGTTGTGTCTTCCCAACCGCCAGCTGCTGCAACTGCCCTGGGAGGACGTTCCCCAGGGAGGGTGGAAGCGCAAGTTGGAATGTTGGAAATGGTCTCGGGTGGATCAAATAGGGATTAATGCTTGTATTTTGATGTAGCGCTTTATCACGTCTTCACCCTGTGGGGAATCAGCCCGCGGCAGCCAAAAGGTTGGACCACCTTTGTAGGATGTAGTGTATTGGTTAGAGCACTCACTTCACAAGCAAGAGGACCCGGGTTCGATTCCCAGATGGGGTGAAACTTTAAGCACTTTTCTGCCTCCGTTCAGCAACCTGGGACGTCCTCCCAATCTGAAAGGCACTAATACAAATGTAATTTGTTGTTGCCTCTTGTATTTGTTGTTGTAGATGATCTTCCCCAAGCCGCCGGTTCATTTAGTTTGAGAAAGAAATACTCTGGTCAGCATTAGCTGTCTGACATCGAGTCCTGGACGAGAGACAACTTTCTTCAGCTCAACGTGCGCAAAACTGAGGCCCTCCTGATTGGCTCACGTCAGCGCCTCCGCCCCTCAGGCACTGACAGCATCAGCATCCAAGGCCGCACTCTCCACCTCTCAAAGCCATCAGGAACCTCGGCGTTCTGTTCGACCCTGAGCTGTCCTTTCTCCCTCATATCCGCACCACAACCGGCACCGCCTTCCATCACCTCCGGAACATCACCAGACTACGGCACTACCTCACCCCTCACGCGGCTGAAATCCTGGTCCACGCCTTTATCACCTCAAGGCTGGACTATGGGAACTCTCTCCTCGCCGGCCTTCCCGCCCCTCCCTCCACACTGCAGGTCATTCAGAACTCTGCAGCTCGTGTACTGTCCCGCACCAGACACCGCGCCCACATCACTCCCACCCTCGCCCTCACCCTCGCCCTCACCCTCGCCCTCACCCTCGCTCGCCTCCACTGGCTCATCATCCCCCAGAGGATCGAATTCAAGATCCTCATCCTCACCTACAAGGCCATTCACGGCCTTCCTCCCTCCTACCTCTCCGACCTACTACCCCCCTACTTACCTGCCTGTACCCTCCGTTCCTCTGGCTCCGGTCTGCTCCAAATCCCCCGCCCCAACCGCCCTACCATCGGTGGCCGGGCCTTCAGCCTCTCAGCCCCGAGGCTCTGGAACTCTATCCCCAGTGCCTTCACCGCTTCCTCCCTTTCCTCCTTCAAGGCCGGTCTCAAGACCTTTCTCTTTGACCTTCAGCCTTCAGCTCCGCTCTCGACTCTCTAACCCCTCCTCACCCCCTCCCTTCCCTTCCCTCACCCTGACCATTTCCCCCCTCCTCGCTCCCTCCCTCCCTTCCCTCCCCTCACCCTCACCATTTCCCCCCTCCTCGCTCCCTCCGCTCACCTTCACCATTTCCCCCCTGTTCGGGTCCCGACCCAACTGTCCAGTGCCTTGGGACGTCCTCCCGACGTGAAAGGCGCTCTGTAAATGCAATCTTGTTGTTGTTGTTTTAAGTTTCTCAAAATGAAGTTATTCTCTTGTATTCAGGTTGAACATTCCCTGATCCAAGTGCTTGAAATGTGCCTTGAGATGCTGATGTTATCACAAGCTTCATTTAAAAGGGGCAGCGTAGCGAGGCAAGGGTCAGGCACGTGCCAGGGGCAGTTTGTTTCATGAAATGTCATCAGCAGAAAAGCTGCTCTTGTCACATGGTGCAGCAAGTCCACCACACGACAATCACACAAAAACTTCATTAAAGCTAAGATAAAAATCTGTGACATGGGAGTGAGAAACTGTCCAACTGCATAGATCTGTTGAGCTGTTCCCAGAGAGCACCACCCACAAAGTAATTGGTAGATTGGAAAATATAGCAGCTAATCTATAGCATCACATGTAACGTGAGGTGAATGACCAATTTTTTTTAATTGAATTTAGTTAAGGAATATTGACCAGAACATTGGGACATTCTCTTTAAAACAGCACCTTGGGATCTTTCACATCGGCCTGAATAATAATAATAATCCTTGCATTTGATATAGCGCTTTTCACATCTTCTCAACGTCTCAAAGCGCTTCACAGAATATGCTGTAAAGTGAATTGACTGAATATATTTGTGGGCAAAATACAGCAGCCAATTGCACACAGCAGTGTCCCCCACAAACATTCATGGACTAAAAATGACCAATTTATTATTGTTTTGTTTTTTGGAGGCATTATTATTAGGCGTGTGGAGTGAGAAAGAATCACAGAAAAAGCAGACATGGCCTCAGTTTAATATCTCATCCGAAGGATGAAGCAACACAGCACTCTCGTGTCACTGCACAAAAGTTTCAGTCTACTACAAGCTCGGGTCCTGAACAGACTAAAACGCACAACTTTATGACACAATGACAGAGCTAAGGTATAATTAGAATTGTAAAAAATATAAACTGTGGAGTAATTTCAGAAAACATAACTGCAAAATGTAACTTGATTCTGAGAATTGCCTTCACTCCACAGTCCTGTTAAGTAAGTGGATTTGGCCACATATTTCTGGCCTGAAGTTGGCCTCCTCTGCACAGGATGTACCATTGGCGACACCTATTGGACCGCAGGATGATGCACACACATATCCAGTGATCTGAACAATGTTGTGGGCCCTTTTCCACTGACACATTCACTAAAGTTGTTGTGTCCCTTCGTGAATAGTTTGAATAATAAATATCGAGGCTATTGAGTGAGTGGAAAATCCTAATTCAGGATTTCAAATGCAAGAACCTCAAGCTGCCAGAGTGTTCCTCTTACTGGGTTGCTGAGTGTTCTCTATTGGTATTTCAGTACTCCGAGACACTACATCACATGAAGGGCACAATATAAATGCAAGTTGTTGTCTACTCCTTCCTCCTTCAGTCATGGTCAGATGAGAAATGAGGTACAATTTCACTTGTGTTTTACAATGACATGGAGTAAATATATGCAATATGTAAACCATTGAAAGAGTATAGCAATGACAGCTGGCAGGTGATGGGAGACTTTCCAGGGGGTCGGTGGAAGCAGAAAATACACAAGTAGGGAACATATGTGTCTTACAGAAGGAACTGAAATATTTGGCAAAGAGTAAACAGGATTTGGGTTATACAATATAATCCTTGCATTTATTACTGTACCTTATCACATCTCAAAGCGCTTCATAGAATATCCTGTAAAGTGAATTGACTGTATTTTGTGGGCACAACGCAACAGCCAATTGCACACAGCAGCGTCCCACAAACAGTTGTGGATTGAGTGACCAAATTATTATCATTTTTTAAGAGATTATTATCCCCAGGAAAAGTGATCCACAAAAAGCGACTAATAACCTGGTTCCTACTCACTGTTGGTAAACAGAGTCGTGTGGAATAAGTTAACTTGCCGAATGTTTCGCCCTGCCAGGAATCAAACCCGGGTCCTCTTGCTTGCGAGGCGAGTGCTCCAACCACTGAGCTACAGGACTCCACGTATGGATTCTAGTACATCTCACAGCATTCAGAAACAATCGCAAGCACTTTTGAACGGTTTTATTTTAAGGTTTTCAAGTACAGTGGCATCATCTGGCAGCACGGTTTGCAATACTTCTGCTTGGTAATACATCAGATGATAAATGTAGTAAAAGCTACAAGTCTGAATCGACCATCCATTCAAACCCTTCACCATCATACAGGGACCTAGATCTACAGCAGCCATGACAAGCTAATGCCAGGGTTGGTCTAAGTTCATTTGGTCACGTACCCTAAGACAGATTCAGGCAAAATATTCAAATAATTCATCAAAAGATCAAAATAAAGAGAGGAAAGGCTTGTGGTCTAATTTGCAGTATTTCTTAATAAGAAATTTGCAATTCGGAGGTTTGTAAAACATCAGAGTGTTTTTCACATTCTTATGGTTTTAGAAATTCAATGTGTCCCTCAGCACAATTAATGCTTTAGAAATGTGATCATTTCTTAAGAAATCTATTAATTAGTCCCCACTGTACTGTGACATGGTGTTTCCCACGTACACATGATCAGTAGGACAGAGGTTCCCTTTATTAGTTGATATTCACAAAAACACTTGGGAAAAAAACTGGCCCAAACAACAGCCTTTATCATTGTTCAACTACAAGTGATGAAATTACAGTACAAACAGCTTCAAACATTCAGCTCACTCTCCCAATCCCAAAACTCGTTTTCTTCATCCTAATTATTCTGGAGAGTTTGTACAGTAAAGACTTCCACAGGTTTGAATTTTGTTCTTGATTTATTCAGATTACAATATTCTCTCTCTCTACCCGTGGCCCCCACTCCCTATAGTGAGTGGCAAACAGTCCAATTCAAGTTAATAATCCAAATGGAGAATAAACAGACAGCCTCTTCCATTTCTCTCAGACATTTTGCATTTATCCACCTGACGTTTACTGGCTGTCAAAGTTTAAGCTTTTGTGTTTTACATTTTATATACTGTGTATAAAAAAATTACCACCGATAAACGTGTTGTTCTTGCACATCAACCAATGTTTGAGCTTAGATTTCTGACCTGTCTGTTGTATGGCTTACCTTAAAACACTTACAAAGAACAATTTTTAAAAAATAATTTAAAAATTACTTCATGCCTTACTTATGACTTCTCCACAAAGTCCCATTTGTTTTCTAATACTTTTCCTATAGCTTCTTTTGGTCTTTTCTCTCCCTTGAACTGGACTAAATAACACAAACACCTATTAGCCTGTGGGTGGTGGTGGGCAGGAAAGGGGAGGAAAGACACTTGTACAGAAGGCACGCAAGTCCCTGGTACATGTTAGTGTTACTAAAAGACAGACGAGAAGCAGTGCAGTAGACACTCGCTTTGCTGATATACATTACAAAGAAAGTTCAGGACGTGCAATTTGCCTACACATAACAGGTTATTAATCTCCCACCAGTATTGTAAACAATGGGGAAAAAAATTGCCTTTGAAAAATCACACTCTGACACCCACATTGAATCAAATTGACCCAGGAGCTACCTCCACACCCACCCTCTTTGCTACTTAATCAGGCCTCTTAAGAGATCAGACAACAAAACTTACCAAATGCATTTGGTATATATTAGTGTGTACAGCTGGTCTCCTACTACATACACAATGTTATATAGTGCATGACAATATAATGGGGTTGGGGGAAGGGGGAGAAATAAAGCAAAAGGAATGAACAAAACATCTCTCATGTTGACCATGTGCACCTATATCCAGTCTGTGTGTCCTGCTCTGTGCACATGTACACACACACACACAATCATCTTCAGAGGCATAACCAGGCAAGCAAGGTTTATATCAGAGTGAGTTTGTGTACGGACTAACTCTGCCGAGTGCTTTAGAATGTCTTCCTGTGGATCGCTCTGGCTCCATCCTCCTCGTATTCCTTCTTGGAGACCCACATTTTCTTAAATGTGTCGAGCGAAGCCAGAATGGAGCCACTGCAAAAACAACCAGGCTCTGAATTACTGACCCGTCAACACTAACATTCACATGCAATTATTGACTTAGCATACTGATGAAACCTTAATGACTTAGCAAACCCAAATTAAATAGAACTAGGGTCTTTGTTTTTAACCCTTGCACCTAGTTTGTTTAATCCATTCAACTTCAACTAAGAGTGAGTGTCCAAGGTGCTTTCTCTCCAGTTGGAGTAGATGGAATAACTGTCTTAATTTTAAAATTAGAGTGAGGCCATTTAGGAGTGAAATCAGGAAGCAATTTTTCCACAAAGGCTAGTGGAAATCTGGAACTCTCTCCCCCAAAAGGTCGTGGACGCTGAACCCATTCACATTGTCCAAACTGAGGTCAGGGTATCAAGGGATATGGGGCAAAGGTGAAGATGGGGTACAGATCAGCCATAATCTTATAGAATGATGGAACAGGCTTGAGGGGCTGGATGGCCTCCTCCTGTTCCTATGTCCCCATATACTGATGCAACCTTCAATACAGAAATTAATTTGCAGGTTTCTTGTGAGGAGCGCTGCACTATATAAATGCAAGTTGTTGACGTTGTAAAACCAAGAGCACGGCAAAATCTTGGCCAAGTTTCCTTACTCCACACAGAGCCTAATAATAATCCCTCCAAAACAAAACAATAATAAATTGGTCATTTTCAATCCACGACTGTTTGTGGGACATCGCTGTGAGCAATTGGCTGCCGCGTTCGCCCACAAATATACAGTCAATCTACTTTATAATATATTCTGTGAAGCTCTTTGGGACATCTAGAAGACATGAAAAGCGCTATATCAAATGCAAGGATTATTATTATTATTATTCATTCAGAAGTTTTGCGATTTCCATAGATATTCCCTGCAGATTTGATTTGATTTGTAACTACAGATCTCCGTTGGCTAACGTAACAGCCATTTGATGCTTTCCATTCAGTCTGCAGAGGCTGTGTATGGTTTACCAATGAGACTGCAACATCTTGAACAAAAACACGATTTTCTCCATGTTATTGTCACAAAAATGTCAATGTTAAAAGCCAACAGACAAGGTGTGGGCGGCATGTTAAATTCTAATTGTGTTGTGCGTCTCTGTGTGTGCGCGTCTGTGTATGTGCGTCTGTGTATGTGTGTCTTTGTGCGTGCGCGGGCAGGCGGGGGGGGGAGAGAGCAAGCAAACAAATTTAACCCAGTAAGTGCAGAACCAGCTGCAAAATAGTGTCTCACAAACAGAGTGAGAGCAAATTAATGTAAACATCTAAAGGGGTTAGTAACAGCTAACCTCACTCCCTTCTTTACCAACGTCTCCACAGTTGTGCCACACCTTCCCTGAGCAGGATTATCCGATTGGTAACAGCTACACAGAAGAGGTTTGACCCTGTTGTGCGCTGATCTCAGCCTTAACAATTAGATAGAGACTGAGCAGTGATGGCTCCGCAGTCAAATATCTACTGACACTCACAATCAGGGATCACACATCTGATTATTATTATTATTGATTATTATTATTTTTGTGGGATCCATCACTCTTGATCTCAATCCCTGGCTCAGGTGGAAATCCCTGACGGTCCAGTGCTTTGGGATGTCCTCCCGATGTGATAAGCGCTACACAAAAGTAATTTGTTGTTGTTGATTAATGGCCACTAAGGAGAATACTGGTGTGTGAGGGGGAAATGGGGTAGGGGGAGTAAAGAGGAAGGTGAGTCCAGAACTAGACCAGAATCACGGCTCAGATATAATGAACAGGCATAATATTCCTTTGCTAGAACCAGCACAGATGGAGAGACAGGGAGGGTGAGAAAGGGGGCAAGAGGGGGTGAGAGAAAGGGGGAATGGGGAGGGATGTGAGATGTATAAAGGAGCACTTACCCTATCCATGTGGAATATAACCTCTCCTGAGGAGCAGAGATCTGTAATGAACCAAATAACATGGATGACATTTAATTCACTTGACACTTAGAAGTGGGTGATGCCCTGCAATGCTTCCTCAAGGCTCACATTTTCTGCTAGGTTGAAAGAAACCTTTGTTAACAGTTGGCTGCAAAGTTGTTTTCAATCTAGACTAGGAATAGCCTTACACATACAGAGATGTCATTTACATACCACAGTTTAGAACCGTCACCAAATTTACATTTAAAACACACATGGTTTACTTTGTCACGTTCTTTCCATGTGATTGCCTTGTATAGAATCCAAAACACAGGTAGAGCATATGGGGGTGGGGTGGGGGCGTAATTACCTTTATTTTAACATCCTTTGGTGCTAACTTCTTCACTTCGCTCAGCAGTCTGTCACCAAACCCTAGGATTTACAAAAAAGCACAGAAATTGATGTTTAATTAAGAAAGTGCGAGGAGGAGAGAAGAGGAAAAATATTACACAGGTTATTTGGGAAAATAACCGACTTTGACAGAAAGTGCTAACACCCACTTACCCTAGATCAGGTAGTTGCACATTATTAAGTAATAAAAGAAAAAAGAAAAATCAAAGTATAATAAAGACTCCTGCGCTCTGTGATGCAAGCTTGACAGCAAAACATTAACACTCCAACCATACAAGTTCCTTGTGAAATGCACATTTCCAGTATACACTGTATTTTGCTTTAATTGCTATTCCTTTATCCATTTAGAAGAGAAAGACGACACCTCCGACAATGTAGTGCTCCCCCAGCATCATACTTGACTGTGAGCTCAAAGTCCCAATGTGGGGCTTGAACTCACAACCTCAGTGAATACTCAGAGGCAAGTGTTGAGCCAGGTTGACACATTGAAAAACAAGGCCCAATTTATATGATTATATGATTTATATTGCTGAAAGCACTTGTGGCCCATAATTCAACCTAGTCCTGTCCTGTAAGCCATTTTTGTCCTAAAAAATTTAAGTTGTACAGAATTTGGGAAAGATTTTAGATTCCATCTGAACTTGAAAGCAGCTCCTGTTTCAAATTGCAGAAAATTGGCTTTCAAATTTAAGGCAGAATTTAGGTATTTTAATATTGCCTTATCATGTCTCAAGGTGCTTCACAGGTAATTATGGTCAAGTGTAGTGACTGGTATTTGTAGGCTAACCTTGCAGCCATTCTGTGCATAGCAATATCCCACAAACAACCATGAGGTAGATAACTAATGTATCTGGAGGATGGATGGCTAGGATATTGTTGTGGCCATCAGGACATTGGTTTTAACATAAACACAGCAGCGAGACAGCTCTAATTACATTGAGTTAACCTTAGCTTGAATCAAGGCCAAAAGTAAGAGAGTATTTGACTATTATCAGGTCAGAGAAAAAGTGGTGGGAACCTCAATGCTCAAACATTAATGTTTGCGTCAAATAGATTAAAGGAAAATACCTTTGAATAGCGTTGATCCCCCGGAGAGCACAATGTTCGAGAAAAGGGTTCGCCTCAGATCCATGTCTGACTTCTGGATCGCGAAGACCAGGACTTCGTGAATTCCTTCGCATTCTTCACCAACAAGATCAGGTCGAAACAGCAACTCTGGAGCACGGAAGCGGGCAGGGCCGATCTGTACAGAGCAAAGCAGGTCAGAGGAGCCTCATCACTACAGGACACCAGTAAGATTCACCAGAAGCCACAAGATCACAAGAGGTTCAGATAATGAAAACTCTTCAGCCTTTTGATCTCACCTTTCCTACCCGAACACCAACCCATGACAGCACCAAGCAGTTTCTTAAACAAGTCCAATGTCCTGACCTGAACCACCCTTCCTGGTAACCTATTCCAGCCTTTCATTATTACCCTCTGGGCAAAGCATTTAAAAACATGGATATTAATATTAACATCAGGACATTAATAATAATCCTGGTATTTGATAGAGCTCCTCATTACGTTGTTGAAACGTCTCAGAGCGCTTCACAAAATATACCATAAAGTGAATTGTGGGCGAAAACACAGTAGGCAATTGCACACGGCACATTGGGAATTGATCCATATTGGGAACTGATTAAAGCATTCAAAGCGTCAGTGCCTTGGGACATCCTCCGGACGTGAAATACAATTTGTCGTCATTGTTAAACAGGATAGAGCCTTACTTCAATCGTGCTTCCATCAGGCAGGATGTATTGTACTTTCTCAGTCTCCAGAGTTTCATCTTTCTGTGGATTTATTGACAGGTAACAGGCTCGCTGCAAGGCAATCAGACAGGCCAGGTAATGACTCAGATAATGACTCAGACCATAATGTGCTCAGAAACACAGAGTGACCATTAACAATTAAAACAGGTAACAGCAGTTCTAGCGGATACTTCAAAGTAAGAATGATAGCAAGACCCCCTCTCTGTAAGATTTATCCTAGGAATCTCCCTCAGAAAATGAAGCTTTGAAGTTATGTCCTTCCAGTTTCAAAACGTAGGGCTGTGTTACCCCGTAAACCCAACCAGGTCTCCTCTAACCATTAGAAGATGATATGCATTTGGTTTTCTGTTTAATTTCTGTCTGTTTACCAACCAACCAGTGAACCCACCAGTGTGGGTAATTATTGTGTTACGTGATTAGGCTCACATAAGAGGGTGAACGATCGGGATGCAAATAAATAATGCTTGTATTTGATATAGCATTTTTCATATCTAGACGTCTCAAAGCGCTTCACAGAATACACTGTGAAGTGAGTTGACTGTACAATTGTGGGCGAAACACAGCAGCCAATTGCACACAACAGTGTCCCACATACAGTCATGCATTGAAGTGACCAATTTATTTATTTTTTCTTCAGGGATTAGTATCAGGTGTGTGGAGTAAGGAAACTTGCCCAAGGTTTTGCCCTGTCAGGAATCGAACCCAGGTCTCTCGCTTGCGAGGCAAGTGCTCTAACCACAGGAGCAGGCCAGAGTCTGCTGAGCGGAGGGTGGCATGGAGTTCACAAGTCACAGAGGTAGGGAGGAGCAAGACCATGGAGGGCTTTGAAAACGAGGACACGGATTTTGTACTCTATCCACTACAGCAACCGCCTCTCAGTGCACCTTGTAAAGAATGAGGGGATACAGTTTGGCACCGTCATTAACTACAAGGTGCAGTCCCAATGTCATGTCATGCAAAGTCATCATTCAAGTCCTCGCTAGGAGAAAATCCAGCTGTGCATCCATTCTCGTATTGCATGAAATCAGAGAGCGGCATCGGCAAAGCTCTGGGGAGGATGCACAATGAGCAGAAAGGGAATTTTAATAGGTTAGGATGTGAAAATCTGCATTTTAAAAATTACAGAGCGAGGAGATACTAAATAGTTAACAACAACAATTTGCATTTATACAGTGCCTTTCAAGCCGGGCAACATCTCGGAGCTTAACATTGGCGCCTGACGCCGAGCGGGTGGAAGAGGTAGAGGGAGGAAGGAGGTGACCGTAAGCACGGTCGAAGAGAAAGGTCTTCAGTCGTGATCTAAAAGAGGGGAAAAGGTGGCAAAGTGGAGGGATTGGGGGAGAGAGTTCCAAAGCTTTGGGGCATCGTGGCTGGAAGTGTGGCTGCTGATGGTGGAGTGGAGCTGAAGTTAATAATTGACACAAAGCAGGAATTCTTAGGGACGTTTCACTCACAGTGTGAAATCGATCAACACATTAACGGGAAGTGAGAACCTCTACCTCTTTGATTGTTTTTACGATCTCGAATTCTGACGAGGTGTGAAAATCGTATCCTTCCTTCCTGAGGAAGAGGCGTAAATAGCGGGAAACGTCCCGCCCGGCAATGTCAATCCGCATGATGGAATGCGGCATGGCAAATCCTTCATAGATCGGAACCGCGTGAGTGACTCCATCGCCTGAATCTAACACCACCCCTGTGGTCCTTCCTGTGGCATACCTTCAGCAAAGCACACAACAGAATTGGTAAGTAATAATAATAATAATTCTTGCAATTAATGTAGCACCTCACCACGCCATCAAGACGTCTCAAAGTGCTTCACAGGATATACTCTAAAGTGGATTGGCTGTGTATTTTGTAGGCGAATTGCGCACAGCAGTGTCCCGTAATGGAGTGAAACACCAAATTATTTTTATATATCTATATATATATTTATAATACAGGGAGCATTGACGATTGTCCAAGTTTGTGTTTATATGGGCAGTTCACACAAAGACAAATAATCTTAATGGTTCAGTCAATGATTTGTGGGTTTCTGAACATCAAATACTAACAGACTAAGTACTGCCTGCATCGAGATGAACAAAGCAGGGACATTGAAGGTCTCGAAGAAAACCTCAGCCGCACGTTCACGGTTTTTCCTCGGGTTGAGTGGAGCCTCTGTGAGCAGTACTGGATGCTGGAAGAGAACAGATCGCAGGAATCAGAATCTGCAGAAAATGCAAAATACGACAATTATAATAATAATCTTTGCATTTGATATAGTGCCTTATTACATAGTTGAGACGTCTCAAAGCTCAGAATATATTGTGAAGTATAGTGACTGTGTATTTTGTGGGCGAAACCCAGCACGCAACAATGTCCCACAAACAGTCGTGGATTGACTGACCAAATTATTATTTTTTTGGAAATGATTATTACCCCCAGAAAGCAATCCACCAATCTTATTTACTGTTAGGTAAACAGGTGTGTGGAGCAAGGAAACTTGCCTAATGTTTGGCTCTGCCCAGGAATCAAACCCAGGTCCTCTAGCTTGTGAGGCGAGTGCTCTAACCACTACGAGCAGGACTCCATGCTACAGGATTAAGTGACTGAAACACCTGAGTACTGAAGGATTCAGTCGCTAAATCCTTGTCTTACCTCTTCAGAGAAAGTCTGGAGTTGGTCTTTGGAATACACGTACTGCCAAATCCGCTCCATATCGTTCCAGTCTTTTACAATTCCATGTTCCATTGGATATCTTATTGTTAATAGACCCCTGTGCTCCTACAGACATAAAAACACAAGTCACAAAAACAAAAACATCAGTAACAAAAAACATAGGTTGTCAACTAACAAGGTTCAAAATAAAAAGTGTGATCAAGAAAATTATGATAATACACTGAACAAATAGCTGCTTGTGCCTTGTTTTTGTGGTGCATAACACAACCTGAACCCAGAGTGAGATTACTGTTTGGTATTTATTCACAGGCAGCTATTACATCGCAAGGTAATTTGACCAAGGAGTCTAATAATTCATATTCACTTCATAAAGATTGGGTCTAATATCACATAGAGGAAACTATATCTGACAACATTTTTTCCATAGAGTGCTTGATGTTCAGGCTGTGTGAAACAAGTGAGGAATGAATGATGATAATAATAATCCATACACTTTGAATTGTTACACCACTAACATGCCTCACCAATAGAACCATAGAAATTTATAGCACAGAAGAAAGCCATTAGACTGACCATTTGGTCAGTCAATCCACGACTGTTTGTGGGACATTGTTGTGTGCAATTGGCTGCTGGGTTTCGCCCACAAAATACACAGTCACTATACTTCACAATATATTCTGAGTTTTGTACATTAGTACAGGCGTTTGAAAGAACAAGCCATTCAGTCACATTTACCTGCTTTTCCCCACGCATGCAACACCTTTTTAAGAAATCTATTTAGTTTCCTTGTGAAAATTAATCTAGATTCTGCCTCAATCACTGCACCTGGCAGGGGCATTGCACTCCACAACAAGCCCAAAGTTCACCCAGGATTAAAGAAGATTCATAAATGTTTTTAAAAGTAATTTTAAAAAAAGTACCTCAGCTTTTGGGCCTATGAAAATATCTCCTTCCAGTGCACCAGCCATAACACGGACATGTTTGGGTCTTCCCACACTGAAACAAAGTTTGGTTTATTTGGGTTCAACAACATTTTCAGTCTTGTAATTATGTGAAAGAATTCTCTGTCCCCTGCCCCCTCCCTCCCCAGTGTTAAAGGAGCAAGTTACCCAATCAGTCAGAGCTGGTCAGTGACCATATTATCAGATGAAATTTAACATCTCATATTCTTGCTATGAATTATTCAGGCACTGACAGCATCACCATCCATGGTTACACACTCCACCTTACTAAGCCCGTCCGGAACTTTGGCGTCCTATTTCACCTTCAACTATCCTTTCTACCCCACATCTGCGCCATGACCCGCTCTGCCTTTACTCCATCTCCGCAACGTCGCCCGGGTCCGCCACTGTCTCATCCTGCAGGCCACCGAAACCCTCACACGCGCCTTCATTTCATAGTGGCTCGACCATGCAAACTCCCTGCTTGTTGGCCTCCCCAACTCCTCCCTCCATAGGCTGCAGATCATCCAGAACTCTGCAGCCCGTGTCCTCTCCCGCACCGGACTCCGTGACCCTATCACTCCCATCCTCACCCGACTCCACTGGCTTCCCATCACACAGAGGATACAGTTCAAGTCCCTGGTGCTCACCTTCAAAGCCCTCCATGGTTTTGATCCCCAACCCCCTACCATCCTGCTTGCTCCCTCTGCTCAGTGGGCTCCGGCCTGCTTTACATCCCCCACCTCGCTCACCCCACTATTCTGCCACTCTGGCCCCACCTTCTGGAACTCCATCGCGCAGTCCGTACACCTCGCCCCTTCCCTTGCCTCTTCCAAGTCCCATCTCAAGACCCTCATCTTCGACTGTGCTTTCAATCTCCCTGCTTCTCCCCCACCCTCCCCGACCTCTAACCCCAGCTCGGGTCTGAAACTGTCTGTCCAGCGCCTTGGGATGCCCTCCCAACATGAAAGGCACTTTACACATGTAACTTTGTTGTTGTTGTTACTGCTTTCCCTGGTTAGATTTAAAGCATGTGAAGAAAGAGATCAAAAAATGTAATGAGTTTTAACCGCAATAGTGTTGAGTTAGCCGTCCATTTTTTTGTTGGGTTCCTAGCTTATCAGCGCCTTAGAATGAACGTCATCACTACGCTCTCAATATGCAATGGAATTCTGATATTGGTGCCATACTGTACTGTAAGTATGCAGGACCCATTCCCAAAAGATGTTTGTAGCTTCAGTGACCTTGAATCTTAACCAGTATGACAATCTAAATGCGTTATTGCAGCAAGATGGGCAGAGGTCATTGAGCAGTGTGAATAGGACAGTACATTTTCAGGCTGGTCTAGTGGGATTGGGTGAGTTGGGCCTCGGGTAGGACATTAAAAAGACGGTGCCCTCATTTCCTTTCCACATCCATTTTGTTCATGTTGTTTCTAAGTGGAATCAAGAGAGTTCTTGTACAAAAAAAAATTCGGCTTGTAACCAAAAATGTACTTACTAGTTAGGGAAGCAGTACTTTGGTATCTGATCACCTGCAAAACCAGCTTTGACTACACCGGAGCCCTGCAAGTATAAGCATACAAGTGAATATGAGGCACTGGTAATATTACAGGGAACTTAAGCAATGTGTACGTTATAGATGTTGCTGCCATCATTAGGGGGGGACTGGCTGAAGGAATGAAGACATTGAATGATCACGACCCCCCCAAGGACATTAACATTTATGGGTGTCCACTTGCCCAATTCACGGGCTGATAATAAGGTTTTTATTCTGTCCTGATTCAATCCAATTTCTCTATGGTCATCACATGTTCCCAGACAACAAATTACATTTGTATAGTTCCTTTCATGTGGGAGGTCATCCCAAGGCACTGGACTTTCAGGGATTTGGACCCAATGTGGAGGTTGGGATTAGGAGGGCAGGGATGGAGGGTGACCGAAGACACGGTCAAAGGTGAGGAAAATGACAACCAGTTATCAGGTGTGTGCCAGAAGCCAACTGCACAAAATCAGGTCAGGTTCACTCACTCATTCACTGAGGTTCCTGCTCCCAAGACGGAAAGGCAGACAACAGCTACTAACCACAATGGGAACTGTGAAGGGGGAGGGGAAGGAGAGCAAGAAATCCTATCATTCACTGGTTCACATCCAGAGTACAAATAAAACACCACAGAACCAGCTTCCTTCTAATTACTTTAAAAGTGTATAGTCATTAAAATAAATTCTGGTTCTGTCCTTGTGCCAGATTTGTGTACTTTAAACATCACAAATTTTATATACGAAAGGTCAATATTGTTTCAGCATTGCCATTAACACCATGATTTTACATAAGATGGCGAGTAGCAAATCTAAAAGGTTTAGAAGGAAATTCCTTACGCAGAGGCTGCTGGCACTCACGCTGGACAGTCAGGAATCCATACCCGAGCTGGTAGTTGGGATCAGGAGGGGTGGAAGGCGGGGAGGGTTTCAATCTCTTTCTGTAGGCCTAAATGAAGAACACGACTGTGGGGAGCCACATGCCTTATTGCTGGCAGCAGAACAGCTGATGCTGCAAATCTACCAACACTTTGACAATTAAAATAAATATTCACAATTTTTCAAAGAAATGAGCTGGAGGGCCAGTAATTTTGATTTAGGCGTAGTACAAACTCCCACCTACAGACTAATCCTTTTCTCTGAAGTACATGGTACGATCGCTCAATAGTGATTTAGTTAATCCAATTATTTTGTAAAACAGATATACTGTACTCTCATTTTTAAAACTATTACAAGTGACGTTGCTCACTCCTATCACTTACTTTTGTTCTGCAGCAAATCGAAATATAATCCTAAAGAGCATCCAGGAAATTGGATAAATGATTCAAAAAATTTCAAATAATAATCATCAGGAAGATGTCTCAAAGAACTTCGCAGGAAAGCGTATTAACTGTGTATTGTATAGGCAAATGTGATTCTCACGTTTGATTCAGAAGATTGTGGGTTTAAACCCAAAGGTCAAGACTTTGAATCACATAGTCTAAGGTAACGCCTAGTTGGAGGTGCTGTCATTTGGACAAGACGTTAAGCTGAGGTCCCATCTGCCTGTTCATGTGGACATTAATAATAATTGCATTTGATACACCGTCTTATCACATCTTCCAGACATCTCAAAGCGCTTCACAGAATAACTATAAAGTGAATTGACTACATTTTGTGGGAAAAGCACGGCAGCCAATTGCGTACAGCAGCGTCTCACAAACAGTCATGGATCGAGTGACCAAATTATTTTTAAAAAGAATTAATTTGAAGGGATTATTACCACTGGAAAAGTGATCCGACAACTAACATCTGGCCGCTTGCTGGTAAACAGAGGTGTGGAGTACGGCCGCTTGGCCAAGCTTTCACCCTGACTGGGGATCCAGCCCAGGTGTCTCGCTGCCAAAGCGAGTGCTCTAACCCCGGAGCCACAGGACTCAATTATTAAAGATCCCACGGCACGATCTGAAAAGAGAAGGGAGTCCCCCCCTCCCCACCGCCGCGGTGTACTGGCCAACAATACCCCAAATACAATTGATCACTTGTTTCGTGACTGTTTGTGGGTCACTGTTTAGCACAATTTGCTGCCACGTTTCACCCACAAAATACACATCAATTGACGTCTCGGTGTGTCTGTGCTGTGAGGCGCGGTGCCAATGGAAGGCTTATTGGCCGCCGTTGTTGACTTCCCAGCCCTGGATTCTCCTGTCAATCAATACATGCCGGACCGGAAGTGGGGCGGCGCCGCCGTGCAGATTGACGGGCGAGTCCACCAATCGCAGCCGAAGCTGAGCGGCGCGGGCGGCCAATCGGGGAGCGGGGCGGGGCCAGCGCCAGGCCCGAGGCTTCCCGCCGCCGCTTCCCGTCACCGGTATTTTACCGAACGAGGCGGAGAACAAACCGCCGCCGCTTTAATAGCCACAACACGACAAACAGAAAAACACCTCCGCACACACACAGCGGGAGCGGGGCCGGGAGGCAATGAATGGTGGCGGGGCGGGGCTGCTGCTGCCATGGCAGCGCCCGGCACTGAGGGGGGAGATGGCGCCCGACCGGTAACGAGAGGGAGAGTCAGGCCGGGATCTTTTCAGCTGAATAATCAGGTGCCGGAGGAAAGCGTCCGCGCCCTGTGGCTGCCCCGCGCGGTGTGACGGAGTTGCTGCGGCTTCACTCACATTGTCGATGACCACCGGCTGGTTCGCTATCACATCGTACGACTCCATCGCGGCTGCTGCCCCGCACTGCGCCTGCGCGAGCCCTCCATTACATCATCGCCTCATTCCCCTCCCTCTCCCCCCCCTCTCCCCCACCCCCTCTCCCCCCCCTCTCCCCCCCCCTCCCCCCCTCTCCCCCCCCCCTCTCCCCCCCCCTCTCCCCCCCCTCTCCCCACCCCCTCTCCCCCCCCCCTCTCCCCCCCCTCTCCCCCCCCTTCCCCCCCTCTCCCCCCCTCTCCCCACCCCCCTCTCCCCCCCTCTCCCCCACCCACTCCCCCCCCCCTCTCCCCCCCTCTCCCCCCCCCCTCTCCCCCCCCCCTCTCCCCTCCCCTCTCCCCCCCTCTCCCCCTCCCCTCTCCCCCCCCCTCCCCTCTCCCCCCCCTCTCCCCCCTCCCCCTCCCCCCCCCCCCCCTCTCCCCCCCCTCTCCCCACCCCCTCTCCCCCTCCCTCTCCCCCCCCCTCTCCCCCACCCCCTCTCCCCCCCCTCTCCCCCCCCCCTCTCCCCCCCCTCTCCCCCCCTCTCCCCTCCCTCTCCCCACCCCCCTCTCCCCCCCCCCTCTCCCCCCCCCCTCTCCCCCCCCCCCTCTCCCCTCCCCTCTCCCCTCCTCCCCCCCCCTCTCCCCCCCCCCTCCCCCCCCCCTCCCCCCCCTCTCCCCCACCCCCCTCTCCCTCCCCCTCTCCCCCACCCCCTCCTCCCCTCCCCCTCTCCCCACCCCCCTCTCCCCTCCCCTCTCCCCCACCCCCTCTCCCCCCCTCCCCCCCCTCTCCCCACCCCCCTCTCCCCTCCCCCTCTCCCCACCCCCCCTCTCCTCCTCTCCCCCTCCCCCCCTCTAACCCTCCCCCCTCCCCCTCTAACCCTCCCCCTCTAACCCTCCTCTTCTAACTCCCCCTCCTCTCTCCCCCTCTTCTAACTCTCCCCCCTCTCACCCCTCTCTAACCCTTCCCCCTCCCACCCCACCTCTCTAACCCCCCCTCCTCTAACCCTCCCCCCTCCCCCCTGTCTAACCCTCCCTCACCTCACACTTATCCACGTTGAAATCCATCTGCCACATGTCAACCCATTCTGTGTATGTCTGCTTGCAGTTGGTTACAGTCCTCCTCACTATTTCCTACCCTACCTAACTTTGTATCATCTGCAAACTTCGAAATAGTGCTCTCTATGCCCAAGTCCAGATCATTAATATTCATTAGAAAGAGCAGTGGTCCCAATACCGATCCCAGGGGGACACCGCTGCACTCCATTTCGAGAAACACCCATTAACCACCCCCCTCTGCTTTCTGTCACTCAGCCAGTTCCTAATCCAAACTGCCACTGTCTAATACCGTGGGCCTCTAATTTTTGTATTAATCTCTTATGCGGTACTGTGTCAAAACCCTTTTTGAAATCCATGTAAATAACGTCCACCGCATTTCCCTCATCAACCCTCACAGTCACCTCTTCAAAACATTCTATTAGATTTGTTAGGTAAGATTTGCCTTTAACAAATCCATGTTGGGGGTCTCTAGTTACCTCATGTTGCTCTCAGTAGAGATTTATTCTGTCCCGGATTATGGTCTCCAGTAGTTTTCCTATTACCAAAGTTAGGCTGACTGGCCTGTAATTTCCGGGTTTGTCTTTCTGCCCCTTTTTGTAGAGGGGGTAACATTAGCCTCCCTTCATTCTGTTTGTGTTTTAGGATCAAAGACTGATTGCAATTTAAATTTAAACGCCGTTTGCAGTGTAGTCAAAAGATTGATGTATAGAAATTCAACAGGTAGATTAGCTAGCAACTGAGAGATAGTTGACCACTGGCTTGTGACTCTTCCCATTTACTTTTTTGAGACTTTCTGAAGTTGTGTGGTTTTATTTAAGTGACTGGAGTTTGAAAACAAAATGAATGAGTCATCCCTGACACGTGGGACTTGACCAATACTCCCTTTTCACAGCATTCCTAGACTATAGAATCATAGCATATTTACAGCACAGAAGGAGAGAGGCCGTGCAACTCATGTCCGTGCTGGCGTTAACACCCCCACTAGAACCATCAACTCTAATCCAATTCTGGTGCTCTTTCATAAGAAATTTTAATATAACTAATTGTCTTATTCCATTTTAAACGATGTGAACTTCAAAGGATCACAAGATTGCCTTAGATGAAGAAGGCCCTTCAGCCCATCCAATCCAATTTATGCCTTGATCCAAACTCTGCCACCTGTATCCATTGTGTCAGCCTGGCTCAAATGGTACAACAACAACAACATTTCATTTATAGAGCGCCTTTCACGTCGCGAGGACGTCCCAAGGCCCTGGACAGTTGGGTCGGGACCCGAGCAGGCGGGAAATGGTCAGGGGGAGGGAGGGAGGGAGCGAGGAGGGGGGAAATGGTCAGGGGGAGGGAGGGAGGGAGCAAGGAGGGGGGAAATGGTCAGGGTGAGGGGAGGGGAGGGAGGGAGCGAGTAGAGAGTCAAGAGGGGAGCTGAAGGCACGGTCAAAGAGAAGGGTCTTGAGACCGGCCTTGAAGGAGGAAAGGGAGGAAGCGGCGAAGGCACTGGGGGATGGAGTTCCAGAGCCTCGGGGCTGAGAGGCTGAAGGCCACCGATGGTAGGGCGGTTGGGGCGGGGGATGTGGAGCAGACCGGAGCCAGAGGAACGGAGGGTACAGGTAGGTAGGGGGAGAGTAGGTCGGAGAGGTAGGAGGGAGCGAGGCCGTGATTGGCCTTGTAGGTGAGGGTTAGGATCTTGAATTCGATCCTCTGGGGGATGGGGAGCCAGTGGAGGGGAGCGAGGGCGAGGGTGGGAGTGATGTGGGCGCGGTGTCTGGTGCGGGACAGTACACGAGCTGCAGAGTTCTGAATGATCTGCAGTGTGGAGGGAGGGCCGGGAAGGTACCACTGTCAACTCTAAATCAGAAGGTTATGGATTCAAGCCTCATCTTTAAGATGTGATAAGAGGCTATATCAAGGATTATTATTATTATGTTAGGACTTTGAAGATGCTTCGTCAAGGCTGAACTCTAATGCATTAAGAAGCGCACTGCCCCAGCAAGGGGTGGTGCTGCATTTTCAGAAGTGCTGTCCTTCAGATGAGATGTTAATCCGATGCCCAGTCTGTGCCTATTCAGGTGGGCTTCAAAGATCCTGTGCCACTATTCAAAAAGAGAAAGGAGTTTATCTCTCCAAGTGTCCTGGCCAACAACCCCCCTCCCCCCAGATAAAATTGGTCATTCACTTCATGGCTGTTTGTGGAATATTTCTGTGCGCCAGTTGGCTGCTGCATTCACCTACAGAATACACAAGCCACTGCGCTTTACAGTATATCCTAGGAAGTGCTTTAAGACACCCTCCTGGCATGAAAACCGCTATAACAAATATAAGGGTTTATTAATCTTTCCCCACTGTTAAGTGCCGTGAGTCGCTACCCTGCGTGGAAGGCGCTATATAAGTGCAGGTTTGTTGTTGCAAGACGATTATTATTGGCACAACTTCTTGTAAAACTAAAGGGGGCACTGCAACCACTCAGTACTGCGGAGACTCCAGTTACCACAGGGTGTCACCTTTCCCTAAACACACACATAAAATTGATGAAACAGAGAACATTATAATTTACAAATAACCATATGAGTAGCATGTTTTTTTTAATAGATTGATGGGTGTTTTTGGAATGCGAAGTGAATTCCTCTCATGGATCCCCTTTGACGCTTACCTAATTCCGGAAAGTATTAGGCGCAGGTTGGCAAGAGACAAGGCTTGGGGACCACAGGATGGGAATTGGGTTAACTCCTGGAGTCTAACCAGCTAAAACCACATAGCTTGCCATTCGTACTTCTGTCTGGCAAGGTTTCCTGCTGCTTGTCCAGCTAGGACCACCCTAGCTGGTGCTGTCACCAATTCTGGTGCTCTGAGGTCCTGTGGACCCATCTAGATCAGGAACCAGACTGGAGACAGCCACAGAAGGCTGGCTCAAATCCAATATTCCATTCCCAAACATGTTGTCAGTTCAGTGCCAAGGAGACCCTGCTTACCTACCCCCCATTCCCCCAACCCCAGGAGGAAAATTAACAGCAGTGTCCCACAAGCAGCCGTGGATTAAAGTGACCAATTTATTATTATTATTTTTTTGAAGGAATTATTACCCCCAGAAAAGTGATCCACCAATCGATTAACAATTGGGTTCCTACTTACTTCTAGGTAAACAGAGGCGGGTAGACTTACCCAACATTTCGCCCTGCCAGGAATCGAACCTTGGCGACATGATGGGAAATTTGCATGGAAATTATAGCACAACTCTTGGCTTCCCTTTCCCATTTATAATTCAGTACTCATTTTAACACTCTTATCTCCTCCATCAAATCCCAGCCAACAAGAAGGAATGACATGATCAAAAGCCTACAGTTAAACTTGCTAAGAGAAACCTTGCTTTTTTATAGCTCCTTTATGTCAAAACGTCTCAAGGCATTACAGTAATTATTGTCAAGTGTATTCACCATTTTTTGTAGACAGAAGTGACAGCCATTTGTGGAGTCCTGTAGTTCGATGGTTAAGAGTACTTACTTTGCAAGCGAGAGAACTGGGTTTGATTCCCGACAAGGTGAAACCTTGGGCAAGTTTCCTTATTCCACACGCCTGATAATAATCCCTCAAGAAAAAAAATCAATAATAAATTGGTCATTTCAATCCATGACTGTTTGTGGGACGCTGCTGTGTGCAATTGGCTGCCGCATTTCGCCTACAAATATACAGTCAATTCACTTTACAATCTATTCTGTGAAGCTCTTTGAGACGTCGAGAAGATATGAAAAGAGCTATATCAAATGCAAGGATTATTATTTCACATAATAACAAGTGTCCCACAAATAGTCATGAGTTGAATGACTAATTAATACAGAAGATTGTTGGTCAGGACACTGGGAGAAACGCCCTTCTCTTTTTAAGTAGTGTCACAGCACCTTTAACATTTCATCAGGCAAACAGGACCTTGGTTTAACAGCTCATCCAAAATACAGCGCCTTCAACATTGCAGTGCTCCTCCCCTGGTAGTCTGGAATGTGAGTCTAGGCTGTGAGCTCACATTTCGAACCGAGGATTGAATCTACAAACTTCTG